ATATATTTTTTTAACTTTCCTTTGTCAAACAAACAACAAAAATCTCATATTTATAACCTTTTGTTCTCTATTTTCTTTAGCTTGATTGTAAAACATTTAACTAAGATAATTTTAAATGGAAATCCAGGAGGCTATACCTAAAACATAGAAAATACATATGGCTTCTTAAATATCTAACAGTAATAAAGACAGGTAAAAAATATTATCTTTTTACCAATTTAAACTAATTATTTATTAAAGAGAAGTCATGGTAACAGGCACTTTGAAATTAGTTTTGTTAAAGAAAAAAATTCACTTCTCATTAGGGTTTGAGGCATCCAGATGATAAAATTTTGGCTTTTGACTTTACTTATTTATTTATTGTCAACTGTTTACAATTATAGTAATTATATTAATCATTTAACAAGTATTTAACTATCCTATATTTTTAAATTTGAAGCAGAGATGGAACAATTATCTCAAATATATTATTATAATGTAACACATTAAGATTAGTTATAAACTTTAAGAAGTCTTAAACTTTAAGATGTAAACCTTGAAGCAGGTGTTTTTAAATGACCAATTTTCTTTTTAAATGTTTAGAACTGTCTTTACATACACTTAGCAAAGATAGGTACCTTGTCAAACTTGTTGGTTGACTTTAAAGAGGCAGTAGTTATCTGAAAGTCCTAAAATGCTTATATTCATAAATATATAACATACATGCATACAAAATAATCTAAAGCAGAGATAAGTGATCTTTCATAATCCTTGGAATAAAAGTTTAACATATTAGGAGAGCATGCTATAGAACAACAACTGAGACAAGCATCAAGGACAGAAGATCTTGACCAGATTTTAGTATATCTTTTTTTAAACATTTAAACTTAAAAACTCACATTAAAATCTAGATTTAAAATATCTAGGACCATTAATCAATTCTACTTGCTTTGCCAAAGTGGTCATATTGATTTAATATCTTCAGTTGGCATACTGGACACGTGGCCATGTTAACTTAAGTCT